GTCTCTGCCGCCAAAGCCGTCGGCGCCGCTGCCAGCGTCCTTGTGTAAGTGGCACGCCTGCGCGCGCACGTGTGTGTTGATGCGATGATGATGATGTTGATGGCGCCTGCGGTTGCAGCATCACATGCTATTCAAACTCCGCCCACACGCACACCTGTGCATGATGACACACCCTTTACGCACACGCGTGTGCTGCCCACCACCTCTGCGTTCGTTCTTCTAATCATGACACAACAACACAACACAACACAACACAATATAATGCAACACAACGCACAAATCGCAGGGACACTGCGGACCGCACTGTGTCTGGCTCTGGAAAGCTTGAGGAAATTATGGTGTGCGGACAAGAGATCACAGCAAGCACAGCGCAGCTGGTGTCTGCAAGCCGCGTCAAGGCGCGCCCACGCAGCGAGAAGAAGGCGGAGCTTGAGACGTGCTCGCGGCAGGTGCACACGGCGACGCAGGAGCTGATTGAGGCTGTGCGCGACGCGTGCCAGCGGGCGAGGGAGGTGCACTCTGCCCAGGACTACCTCAAGCTGACCATCACGCAGGCGCGTCGGCTGCAGATGGACTCGCAGGTGCGGGTGAAGGAGCTTGAGTACGAGCTGTTGCAGGAACAGGAGCGGCTGCGACAGCTGCGCAAGGCGCACTACCACCTCTCGGAGACGGCCAGCGTCAACTCGGAACGCGCCTCAAAGCGAAACTCCATGGTGGCGGCGTAAGAAACACTGGCAAATGAACGGACGGACAAACAAGCGCTCAAGACTGCGCTGACCAAGTGTTGAATGACTCGCGTCTGTTGGCATCCTTCTTTCTCCTCTTCTTCTCTTCTGTATCTTCGTTTCATACTTTTTCGTTTGCGGTTGTACGGATTGCGTTCATATTGACCACCGCGCTTATTGCGTTACCTTGGCTCATCCATAGATGTTGATCATCGCGTGCTGGTGTTTCTGTTGCATACTGCTGGGTCGTGCGTGCATACTGCTTGCCCTGTTCGACCCGTGTTTGAAATTACGTTAAGCGCCCAACAAGGACAACCACATACAAATGCATATCAAACGACGTTGCCACAACCAACCCGTTTTTCACTGACACACACACACACACACACACACACACATATGACGTGACTTGGTCAAATCAGCAAATGGTATCGTTTACTATGTGCGGGGAATGCAAAGGGAGAGGGGAGAGAGACGTGTCTCATGGGATGTCTCATCACACGTCTCTTTGGATGGATGGATGGATGGATGGATGGATGGTGCTGCGAACACACTCAAGCTGGCGGCCGGCACCAGCGACGAGCGAGAAACACGGCAGCAACACGGAGGCAGCGAGGTGGAGGTATTGGTACAGAATGCAGTTCAAAAACGACACCAGCGTAATGTAAGAAAAGAACAAGAGCGCGTACAAAAAGCAGTGGTGTTGGTGTGGAAGTTGGAAAATGCACACACAGACACAGACACACAGACATACAGACAAACGCACACACACACAGACACAGACACAGACACAGACACACACACACAAACGCACACAGACACAGACACAGACACACAGACATACACACACACACAAAACGCACATAGCGCGGCAATGCAAGTTGAAGCAAACGAAGCAGAGGCGCTCAGCAGCAAGGAAAGAAAGGAAAGAAATGTAAAACAGGGGCTGTCGGGGTGATGTAACGCAAGTGAGGGACAGCACACGAGAGCCAAACACGACAGCTTCACAATGACCAGATGACGGATGCACAGCACAAAACACTCATCACAACCAAACAAACACGAGCAAACACACGAACGAACGACCAAACAACACAAGCATCCGCTCTCTCTCACTCTCTCACAGACACATGACCACAAGCTGCGTGTGTGTCCATGCACGCAAAACATCGCGTGTGTCCATCAACCTGCTCAGAAGCGGAAGAGAGCAAGGGCGATGAGGAGCGATGCTGCGAGAAGGGCCATCACGGGTGCAGGCGCAGCGGTGGCGGCGGCAGAGACAGACCGCTCAAACACCGCTGGCGGCTCGTAGTTGACCGGGTATGGCTTGAGGAGGGAGGATGGAAAGTCGTCACCAGCGCGGTGGGCGCACCAGTTCTCGCCGTCCGGCTGCTGCCAAAACTGGCTGCCGTCGGGGTTGGTGATGCGAATGGGGGTGTCCTGGCTGGCCACGATGCGCCAGTAAAACTCAAAGTCTGGGTCATCGCACGACTCTCGGCAGTAGAACTTGAGCGACATGGTGTCGTCGTACTTGCCGTCCGCGCCAATGGAGTTGGTGGACTCGCGGCACGTGTACAGGTTGCCGTTGCCGCACGACTCCTGGTGCACGTTCTCGGCAAGATCGGGCCTGTTCCAGTCTGTCACGCAGACCTGCTGGTCCGGCTGCAGGGTCTCCGCCATAATCTCCACCCAGCGCTCGTGGACGCGGCGCACGTGCACGCAGACGGCGTGGTACTGGCGGAGCGTGTCGCGCTGGAACCCGAGCGGCGTGGCGTCGTCCTCTGTGAGGGCGGTGACAGACTGCTTGTCGGCGGCGCGGGCCTGGCGGGCCGGGTCGTCGCGGTATGGCTCGCGCTCGAAGTTGTCGCCAAAGGTGCGCTGGATGGTGCCGCCGTTGGTCCAGGGGTGGAAGTTTGAGTAGCGCGGGTCGTCGGGGGTGATGGTGGTGTCCTTGCCGTGGGTGGGCCACATGCCAATGTCATTGCCTTGCACAGTCAGGTCCGGGTCAAGCACGGCCTCGTAGATGGCGGTGCACTCCTGGTGCTCCGCGTGCATCAGGGCCATAAACTCATCCACGGGCGCGCGGATCGTGTTCACCACGCCGTGAACGCCTGCCGTAAACACAAGAGGCAGGGCAAGAGTGGTGGAATGGGGGACCAAGAAGGATTAGCAGAGTGAGGAGGAGGAGGACGAGGATGAGGAGTGGGAGAAGAGGAGGAGTGGGGGAAGGATGAGGAGGGGAAAGGACGAGGAGGAGGAGATAGGCAAGAGGAAGTGATATGAGAACAATAACAACAACTAATGTCAAACAACAACAACAAGAACAACAAGAACAACAACAAGAACAACAACTACAACAACAACAACAGCAGCAGCAGCAGCAGCAACAACAACAACAACAACAACAACAAGAACAACAACTACAACAACAGCAGCAGCAGCAGCAACAACAACAACAACAACAACAACAACAACAACAACAACAACAACAACAACAACAACAACAACAACAACAACAACAACAACAACAACAACAACAACAACAACAACAACAACAACAACAACAACAACAACAACAACAACAACCAACATGCACTTTACTCCACCCACACCCCCCTGCGCTTACCTGAAACCAAGACGCATGCCACGACGGCGGCACACAGAAGCGTGAAACGCATGGCGTAATGTGATAGATCCCTGCTTTTCTCTCTCTCTCTCTTGTGTTCGTCAATTGCTTTCTCTTCGTTCCGTGCTTCCTACGCTGTTGTCTGCGTTTGCGCGTGCGGTTGCCTCTGTGTATGGGGTGGTGGCCGTCTGCGCTTCTGTTGGTGAAATGGGCTGTATCTGCTGTGCTCGAGCTGGACGAATATTTGTAATGATTTCCACAGAAACAACAACCCCACCAACAAAAAAAAAAAAAAGGAAGAAAAAAAATCTGCGCCAGCCAGCAGGCAAGCAAGACACACGGCACGCATGCATGGCAAGCAAGGGGGGACAACTAATCAGGGACAAGGGATCATCACAACAAGAGACAGACAGCAGCGCAGTGAAATGTGCAATGTGTAATGTGTAACGTGCAGTCGTGAAAGCAAACGCAAAGCAGACGAAAAGCACCGACAAAGAAGCAAACACACACACACACACAAAAAAGAAGCTATGTATGTATGTACTTGTGACATGGATTGCGATTATGCTGCGGATGAGGAGGAAGCTGGGGTTTGTGCGGATGCAAGTCGTTCAATCTGGGACCAGTCAGAGTGCCTGAGCGCTGGATCTTGCAGCTTCATGCCGCTCGCAAGCATCATCTTCTCGAAATCCTCCCACAAGGCATCGTGGGGCAGCGGCTGGGATTGCGTCACGTTGTGTAACGCCTGCTGCGGCTGTGTCACGCGGCGCACGGGCCGGGTGGGCGCCGCCGGCGACAGCACGCTTGGTCGAAACGACACGCCACTGTCGCCGCGGACCTGTGCAGGCTCCTGCTCCTGTTGTTGTTGTTGCTGTGGTGTAGGGGCGGCGGTGGCTTCCTCAGCCTGGGGGTGGTCGTGTTCAACGGCAACACTTGCTGGAGGCACCGCCGTCTCCTCATGTTGTGCTTGTACTGGTTCTTCTTGTGTTTGTTCCTCTTGCTGTTGCCGTTGCTGTTGCTCTTCTTCTGGCACCGTCGCTTCCTCTCCCTCCTCCTCCTCCTCCTCCTCCTCCTGTTCCTTCTGCTCCGCTGCTGCTGCTGCTTCTTCTTCTTCTTGTTCCTGTTCTTCCTCCTTTGCCGGCCTCGTGTCCGCAGCACCTTCAGACACCGGCTGCTCCTGCTGCTGCTCCTGGCCTGCTGTCGTGCCTTCTGCTAGTCCCTTCTCCTCCTTCTCTTCCGGCTCCTCCTCCTGCTGTTGTGCCTCATCAGCATCGCTCTTTGGTGGTTCTTCTTCCACAGCAGCTTGCTCTACTGCTGCCGCTGCCTCCTCCTCCTGCTGTTCTTCGTCCTCTTGGGCTGGCGCCTCCACCACGCCCTCCTCAGCACTTGGCTCAGGGGTGGTCTCAGTGGCGGCTGGCGTATCCTCCACTTCCTCCCCATACATCACCCGTTCCTCTTCTTCCTTGTCCGCAACAGCCGGCGCCTCTTCAGCAGCGGCCGGCGCCTCTTCTTCTTCTTCTTCCTCTGCACCTGTGCCTTGTTCTTGCTCATCTGCAGCAACAGCAGCTGTTGTTGCTTCCTCCTCTTGCTCCTCTTGTTCTTGCTGCTGCTCTGCCTCCACTTGTGGGGCTTCAGTGTCCTCCGCCTCCACTGGCTGCATCACTGCTTCCTCTTCCTCCTCCTCCTCCTCTTCTTGCTGTTGTGCGTCCTCCTGTGTGTGCACGACCGCCGCTTCCTCCTCCTTCTCCTGTCCCGTTTCTTCGTCAACCGCAGCCTCGACTGCACTCACCTCCTCCTGCCCCTTCTCTTCCTCTTGCCCCTTCTCTTCCTCCTCTTCTTCCTGCTGCTCTCCCTCTGTCTCCGCTGTTGCTGGCGCTTCTTGCTGCACCGTCTCCTCCTTCACTTCCGCCTGCTCCTCTTCACCAGCCTCCTGCACCTGTGGGTGTTTCTCCTCCACCACCTCCTCCTCCTGCTGTTGTTGGGCGTGTGGCGGCGCTGCTGTTGATGATGCCAGACTGCCGCCCTCAAACACGGGCGACAAAGCCTCAGACTCTGTCGGGCTGATGGACGTGGTCGATTGGCCTGCACACACACACACATACACATTGAATCTTCGTGAGTTGTATTCAAGTCGTGGTGTGCCTGTGCATACACGTTTGCTGTTACACTAACGCTCACAGCCACGTCCCTCCCTGCCTCACAAACACACGTTCATCATTCACAAACACGCCCTCGCGCCGTGCGCAGCACCTGAGATTGAGGAGAGGGCGCTTGAGTCGAGGCCGAGCGAGTGCGATCCTTCATTCTTCGCCTTCTTCAGGCCGCTCATAATCGTCGCGAGCCGCTGCAGTTGCAACACAGGCGCGAAGGAGAGCACGCGCGCGCACACAAACGAATCAGCTCACAGTAGGTTCAGACAAAAGGGCAAACAGCACACACACACATGCACTTGTACGAGGGTGTGTGTGTGCGGCTCTACATACCATGCACACACACACACACACACACAAACACAAACACAAACACAAACACAATCACACACACACACACACACACACACACACACAAACACCACCAACGCCTCCTCCGTGCCAGTAGTTGTCACCCACCGCCTTGCGTGCGCGGCGCTCGGCCTGCTTCTGCTCGCGCATGCGGCGCTTCTCAATGGCCTCGGGCGTGTTGAGCCGTCGCTCCTGCTCTGCTGCGGCCTCGCGTTTGCCCTGCTCAGCCAGCAGCTCCAGGTGGCGGCGGCGGGCGGCCGCGTTCTCTGCACGGCGCGCCTCAAGCTCAAGCTGCTTCTTTCGCTTCTCCTCTGCTTGCTGTGAGGAAGAAAGAGAGATGGGGGGGGGGAGGGTGCAGTGGGTGAGAATGAGGCCACACAGTCGTGAGAAAAGTCGCAACATGCTGGACTCAAAAACACACACACACACACACACACACAGACACACAGACACACACACACACACACACACACACAAGCTTGCGGACCTTGAGAAATTCCTCGTCCTCCTGCTGCATACGCCGTTCGGCGTCGAGGAGGCGTTGCTCGGCCAGTCGCTCCTCCTCTTCCTCCTGCCGCCGCCGCTCAGCAGCAGCCTTCTCTGCCTCACGCCCTGCACACACACACACACACACACACACACACACATACACACGGCACACATGTGGCAGCATGACAGGTGAGGATGGATGAGGTGGTGCAAGTTGCAGGTTGTACGAACACACGCGCAAGCGACATGAAGCACATTGCAAGCGAGACACAGCCACGCACACAAACACACGCAGACACACAGACACACGCACACACACACAGACACACACAGACACACACACACACAGACACACAGACACACACACACACACACACACACACAAAGGCGTACGTTTTGCTGCCTCCAGCCAGTGCTCGTCGTCAGCAATTGGGGTGAGCGGGTCACTGGACTCTGTGCGCCTGCGAATGGCCTTCTTCTGTGTCAGCCGCTTCACAGCCTGCAGCGCGCCGACCTCAAGCCGCCCGCTCGCACTCAGCACGCTGTTCGAGTCGTCGTCGTCATCATCATCATCATTATTGCCATCCACTGCATCCTGGTCTGCTGCACCTTGCTCGTCGTCATTATTAGCATCAACAACGGCAGTGGCAGCGCCATCATCATCATCATCATCATCATCATCATCATCATCATCACGAACGTCCTCCCTCGCCTCTTCACCATCATCATCACCTTCATCCATTTGTGCTGACTCAGCATCCTCGTCCTGTTCCCTTTCTCCCTCTTGTGCTGCATCAACGCTTGCTGCGTGCACGCTCTCGCCATCACTTGCGTCCTCTGCCCCCACTTCATCTGCAACTGCAACGGGTGCAGCCACGTCCTGCTCTTCTTGCTCTTCCTCCGCCTTTGCTTGCTCCTTCTTTGCCCTCTTGGCTGCACCGGTGGTCGCGTTTGACTTTGGCGATTTGGCTGCAGGCTTCTTCTTCGCACCCTCCGTTGTCTTCTTCGCTCCTGCTGCTGTCGCCGTCTTGGCTGTCTTTGCCTTTGCCACCTTGCCTGTGGGCGATGTCTTGGATGCCGGCCGGGTCTTGGTCCTGCTGGCTGTGGTGCCTGTCCTCGCCTTGCTGCTCGTTGCTGACGATGGCCGCTTCCCAGCCGCGCCCGTGCTTGCCCGCGCAATGCGTGTGGGTGTGGCCGTGCTGCTGCCACTGCTGCTTACACGCCCCGTCCGCGTGCTCCTCCCTGTGCCAGTCTTGGATGCAGAGGCCGGTGTTCGCGCTGCGCCCGCTGCCGTCTTGGATTGGCGCGTCGCCTTGCCGCTTGGCGTGGCTGACGAGGAGGAGGAGGAGGAGGAGGAGGTGCGGGCACCGCGCGCGGTTGAACTCTTTGGGCGGGATGTTGATGCTGACGATGAAGATGGCGACGATGTTGATGATGTGGTGCGGCGTGAAGAAGCAGCCGGCGACGCCGTTGATGACGTGGGGATACTCCTATGAGGGCAGGGGAAGACGAGCACGGGGGGAGTGAGTGGGTGTATGTGAGTGAGTGTATGTGAGTGTATGTGAGTGAGTGAGAGTGAGTGTATGTGAGTGAGTGAGTGAGTGAGTGAGTGAGTGAGTGTATGTGAGTGTGTGTTCTACATTTGGGTGTGTATGCATCTTTGATTCAGGCAGCGAGACAAGGCCATGCCAATCATGTACAGGCGTAAGCGCATTGCAAAGAACGTACGATCGTCTGGTCTTTGTTGCTGAGCGGGACGCGCTTGACTTTGTGGTGCTTGTCTTGCTGGGCGTGCCGGTCTTTGACTTGGTCTTGGTGGTCTTGGATGACGTCTGTAACGATGAGCCCAGAGAGGCAATAAGGTGAGCAGTCGTGTTATTGGCAGGGGCGTGAGTGCGGATCATTGTGCATTGCTTGTGTTGGTGCATGCACGCTTGTTTCTGTGTTGTGTAGTCGCATGTATGTGTGCCTGTACGCGTGTTGTGTGCCTGTATGCGTGCGGTCGTATGTGCGTTGGGATTTGTGCACGTGGTTTCAGCCACTTTCCCTTTGTCATGTACATGCGTGTAAGAGCGTGGACCTTGTCTTGAAGCTTCTGCTTCAAGGCGACCTCGGCTTCCTGCAGCTTCTTCTTGCGCTCTGCTGCAGTGTTGCACATGTGTACGCATGCATGCAGGCAGGTTGATTACGAGAGAGAGTGTGTGAGCACATTTGTGTGACATGTATTTTGAGTGTGTGTGAGCGTCGTTGAGTGGCAGCAGCGGCGAGGGTTGAATAAGGATTGGCAAGTGAAAGGGTCACTGCTTGAACTGATGCCAACTGGTGCTCACACAGACACACACATACAGACAGACACAGACAGACAGACAGACAGACAGACAAACAGACAGACACATACAAACGCACACACACACACACACACTCAGACACACAAACGCACACGCGCACCTGCGGTTGACGGTTTTTTCTTGTCAGCCATGATGGTGATTGGGGTGCTGGTGGTGCTGCCTGAACAAAAGGCCACTCACTGGCTCACTGACTCACGCACAAGCACAACGGCCAAGGCCATACACACACAATCTGTGCCTCGCCGCTGCTGTCGTCGTTGGTCTGATCTGCTCTGCTTGGTTGGTTGCGGGTGCAGTGCCACAGTGCTGTCTGTCGGTCTGACTCTTTCTCCTGGGTTCTGTTGTGGTTGGCAGGGGATGGACGGAAAGTGATGGAAATAGGAGGCAAGGATGGAGGGCGTCGTTGGACAGCGCAACAGACGGAAAGAATAAGGAAGGAAGAGAGAAGACAACGCCAAAGGGTGTTTTGGCGTGGGTTTGGATGGATGGCGTGGATTGGAAAGGCGAGAAAAGAGAAGGAGAGGGAGAGGATGTTGTGGGGTAGAATGGGATGATCACGCACGCACAAGGTTGGGGGTGGGTAGAAGGAGGGAGATAGGGGAAGGGAACGAAAAACGTACACATGCACACGCACGCACACACAGTCGGGGAGAGTGACGAGAACGCAAGCAAGCAAGGAAACAGGAGAAGAAGGAGGAAGAGGAGGAGGAGGAAAGGAGAAGGCGCTCGTGAGATGGGTGGCGATAGCTGTGTTATGCTCTCTAATGTGTGTGCAACAGCAGAAGAAGAGGATGCCCCTTGACCACGAATCAAGCTACTGCTGTTGGTGGGGGTGGGTTGATTGGATACGGCAATGTCGCCACTGCAACAAGTATGCGTGGCATACAAGAGAAGAAAAACGAACGAACGAACGAACCCAGCCAGCCAACAGCAAACGAACTCAACATTATGCGTGTGTCACTTGTCGTTCCACCAAGCACAAGCACGCAAGCACAAGCACGCAAGCACAAGCACAGGCACACAAGCACAAACCCACCCAACACACACCTGCCGTTTGTTCGTTGTGCAGCAGCAGCGATTGCGTTTGTGTTTGAGATTGAGGGCGGCCCGGCCGGAATGTGTGTGCGTTTGCGTTGGCAGCAGGGGGATGATTGCGGATGATTGTTGAACATTTTTGGGCAATTTTCGCCATTGCTGGCATAGCAGCATCGAACCACAACTTGTGCTGTTTCTTGCCAGCGCATATGCCACTTTTTTTACCCACCCGTGGACATGTTGGCAAATTTGATTTTACCTTCGGCAATCACGTGCAGGCCGCGTTTCCACGTGCAAAACGACGTGGCGTGCTGGTTTTTTCGATAAACATGGGAAATCATCAACAAATTAGCAAAAGCTTCCAGCACCGTCCGAGTCCGCCTTTCGCGAACGAAGTGCGAGGAACAACCCCGAAGCTCGAAAATGTGACACAACGCACAGGAAGAACATGGAAGAACAACAGAGAAGCAAACGAACGAAGCAACATTTGTTATCATCTCACCGCACCCACCTCCTGCTGCTGCCCTCGCCTTCCTGTGCTTTCCCCAGTATTGCGTGGGTTGTTCTCTCGTGTTCTTCTTGCGATCGCGTGGGTTTGGCTTTCCCCCTTTGGCTGGCTGGCTTGTTGGTTGTTGGTCGTTGGTTGTTGCACCCCTCGCCGCTTGCTCCTCCAGCCTCAACATTTTTCTGCGCTTGCCGCTGCTGTTCCCTTGCCTGTTGATCCGCTGCGTGTTTTGCGCCCCGCTGATCCCTCTCGTGGTTTCTTTCCCATTTTCACCCAGCGATCGCCCTTCCTTCCCCACCTTTCCACCGAGCCCCTTCTGCCGTCTGTCTCTGTCTCTCTGATCGGGACAAGCCATTACAACCGCAAGCCCCTACAGCTCTCAACATCGCATTTCTCCCAGCGGCATCATCCCCATCAACACCACTGCACAACAAACGCCTCCCACCTATTTGATCTCTTCTCCCCACTCTGATCCCACCAGTTTCTTCTCTCTGGCTTTTACCGCGTCCGTCGCTTGCTCTTGTTGAAGGTAAGATGCGGCAGCCATTCCTCATGCCAACCATTATTATCGCGATCGAAACCGCCATCGATCCCTCTCTTCTAGCTTCTCCGTTTGCATCATCTCTCTCTCTCTCCAAAGCAGCATCAGCACCGACACCGACGACAGCCATTTGAGCGGGTCCCAATCGTGTCAGTCCCAAAAACTCTCGATACCATTGGCGCACTGACTGACGTCTCCACCTCCTTGATGCGTGAGAGATCATCCTTACGATATCCCATCAGAGACGGACACAGACTGAGACAAGACTTGAGAGGGGCAGTGAGCACACCACGTGTGTGGCCGCGGTCTTGATCTTTCGAGCCGCTTGATCTTTCGAGCCGCTTGTGTCGATCCCCCCACCTCCCACCTCCCAATCCAAACACTCCCATCCAGCCCACAAAGGTGGACCCCGATCGTCCCACTCTCTCACCTCTCTTCCCCCCCCCCAGCCCGCTTCTTCCTCCTCAACAACTTCCACACCCTCATCGTGCCTGCTCTTCGCGCATGCCAAATCGCCTTAACATTCCAACCCAGAGCTCACATCTGAACTCCCCTCTTGCCCTGCTTGCTTGCACCCTTTCCGTCCTGTTGTTCTGCTCCCTTTTGACCTGGCCTCTCCTTGGTTTTTTTTTTTCGTTGATTGCAGCACAAAGTGGTGACATCCATCGTCGCTTTGAACTTCAGCAGCCAGCAAGTCCGCTAGTCCTCAAGTTCCAAGTGCTCCAAGTACCAAGAGCAAGGCCAACCGCCCTTCTTCAATCAACCAACAAGATGGTTCTCCCAAACGGTGGCTTCTCCCCTCACCCGAACGTTCACGTCCCGGCCGTCCATCATGATGCGACCGCCGTCCAACCGGATCACATCGACGATCATCACGAGACGTTGACCGGCTTTGAGCCGTCAGCCACCTACCTTGCCACTCGCGCCGACACCACCTCCAAGACGTCCAGCACGGCCGCCCTCAAGAAGTTCGTGGAGGGCGAGTCCACCTCCTCTGGCCGCTGCAGCGTCTCCTCTGCTGTGTCGCGCGACCCTTCCCAGTCGCCGCCGTCTGCGCCGTCCTCGCCGCACGTGGCCGCACGCGCCCTGCCGCTGGATCGCCTCGACAAGAAGCAGCAGCAGCGCCAGCAGCTTGCCAGCCTCGCGGCCGCCATGGACGCGCCCGCCCCCAAGTACCGCCACCAGCAGCACCACCTCTCCATGAGCGATGTTGACGAGGAGCCCAGCACCCCCGAGGAGGACAAGACCCCGAGCAGTGCCGACAGCCTCGACAGCACGGTCAACGCAGCCTTCTTCTCCCCCATCTCCCCCTCCGCCCTGGAGACAAGCACCGCTGTGGTCAAGAAGGACGTCAAGAAGATTGCGGCCGAGCTTGCTGCTCCCACCGCCGCCATCACCACCAAGAAGACGGATCCCGTGACCGTCCTCACCGCTCCTCTCCGCACGAAGCGCCGCAAGCCCCTGCGCCCCTTCCACATGACGCGCGCCGAGTTTGACCAGGCCAAGGGCATCAGCATCGCCTTCCAGCCCCTCAAGAAGCAGCCGTTTGCCATCACCAGCCGCAACGACTACCAGGTCGGGTCTGCGGGCCTGTACAGCCAGCTCACGGCCGCCCCCAGGCCAACCCTGCCCAAGAGAGCTGCCGCTGCAACCAAGACGAGGAGGGCGTCTGCCAAGACGGCAACCAAGCCCGCACCGCCCGTGCCCGGCCTCAAGACGCTCAAGAAGAAGCAGGAGCTGCAGGAGCTGCAGCGCCAAATCCTCGCCGAGAAGAAGGCCGCCGCTGCCGCCGCTGCTGCCGCCGCCCGCAAGGAGGCTGCAGCCGCCAAGGCGTCCAAGAAGGCTCCAACGCTGGCACAGCGCAAGAAGCAGCAGCAGCAGCAGCCCAAGAAGAAGAAGCAGATTGGTGCTGCAGGCGGCACCGCAGCAGCGCGCCGCAAGTCGAGCAACAGCAGCGCCGGTAGCAAGGCACGCACGCCCTCGTACCCGGCTGGCTCGCGCACCAACCCAAACAAGCGCTGCAAGTGCTGCGGCTGCAACACCACCCCGCTCTGGCGCGACTTTGGGCCCAACCTGCCCCTGTGCAACGCATGCGGCATTCGCTTCAAGAAGTATGGCTGCGTCTGCCGCGAGTGCATCTACGTCCCCTGCAAGCAGGAGTCCAGCCTGAGCTACTGCAAGCGGTGCAAGGCCAAGCGCTCCTACCTGCGCCGCCCCACGGCAACGGAGCTCAAGGCCCTCGACTCAAGCGTCAGCAAGTGAACTGAACCCTCGCCCACCGCTACGGCAACAGCGGCGGCGACGATGATGATGTGTATGATACATACGTTTGATGATGTGCATGTGGCGGTCAACAGTGCGGATTAGTGCCCTGTGTGTCCTCGGTTGTGCATGCGCGCACCTAGCTTGCAGCGCGTGTTTCAACGTGGACCGTCTTTTCCTCTCTTTTAATTGGATCCCTCCCCTCTTCCCCTCTTATCCCTCTGTATTGGTTTTCCCGCAGCACATCTTCATACTTCTTCGTACTCTCGTTTTCTTCTTCTTTGGCGCTTTGCTTTGCGTTGCTTTGCTTTCCCACCGCTTTCAGCCCGCAACCCCCATCGCTCGCTCCTCCCTCGTCTTTTTTTCCTTTGTTTTCCTTGACTCACCTCACACAAATGTTCTCACAACGCGGTTGTGCTGTTGAGTCACTGATGCATGCATGTGAGCCACTGGTGCATGTGCTGCCCCAGTTTCCCTTCTTTCTTTCTTTCTTTCTTTCTTTCTTTCATTCTTTCATTCAGTGTGAGCGATGGTTCGGTGACGCTACGGGTTTGTGCAAACGATGTTTGATCGACTTGGTTTGTTTTTAACAACACGATCCAACCAGTCTCTGGTCCCCCCCCCTTTTTTTTTCTTTCTTTCCTTATTGATGCTTGATGCGTTTCCAAGACCCCATGGGCTTGTCATCACCACCACCACCTTGTGCCTTGTTTGGTGCTCTTGGTGAGTGTTGTTGCGATCGCTCTAGGAATTCGCACCTCGTGTTCCTTTTCCTTCTTTTTACGTTCATATCTATGTGGTTGGTTGGTTGGTCTCATTTCGCCAGTTGCCCCTCATTGATTGTTGTTGCGTTGTCACCTGTCTGTGTGATCACGTTGTGACATGACGTTTGACCAACCCATGACCCTTTCTTTTCCTTTCCTCTGTGTAAATGTTCTGTAGTGTGCAACCATCATGCCTGCGGCGCGTTTGTGCGTCTTCTTGTGTTGTTTTCGAAGACACATGTGAAGAACACTGTGCTAAAGAACTCTTGCCATGTTGTTGCTCGTGTGATTGATTCATTTGGTTGGTCTCATTTCGCCAGTTGCCCCTCATTGATTGTTGTTGCGTTGTCACCTGTCTGTGTGATCACGTTGTGACATGACGTTTGACCAACCCATGACCCTTTCTTTTCCTTTCCTCTGTGTAAATGTTCTGTAGTGTGCAACCATCATGCCTGCGGCGCGTTTGTGCGTCTTCTTGTGTTGTTTTCGAAGACACATGTGAAGAACACTGTGCTAAAGAACTCTTGCCATGTTGTTGCTCGTGTGATTGATTCATAAACACGTCCGTTGAACGAACCTCAGCGCACAAATGCAATGGAGGAGGGGCAGTGGTAGAGAGGTGTTGTGTTTGGGGCACAAGCGGCGCAGAACAAGCGAACGAGGCAGCGATGGTGGTCGTGTCGCGAGCGAGGAAAGCCTCGCAAGCGCTCAGTAGTCAGTTATTGCGGTGTCTTGCGAGTGGAAGCCGTGCTGCGACTGCGTGTTGCCTTGCACCGTGTCCTGCGAGAGCGTGGCCATGGTGTCCTGTGTTGCCATCTCGTCCGTCGTCACAAACCCACCCTGGTGGTTGTGTGGGTGGGGTCATGGTTGGTTGAGGGAAGCACAAGGAGAGGGAGCGGGTGGGTGTGGTGCGCGTGTGCGTGTATGTGTGAGATGTGTGTGCGCGTGTGCGTGTATGTGTATGTGAGATGTGTGTGTGTGTGTGTGTGTGTGTGTGTGTGTGTGTGTGTGTGTGTGTGTGTGTGTGTGTGTTGCTGGGAAGCGGAAGGGGAGGACAAGGATGCAAGCAGGTGGTGCAGTCACCATCGTACCTGTGATGAGAGCGTGGATCCTTGTGAAGCGTCCAACGAGAGCGTTTGGGAGAACTGGGACGGCAGCGAGCGCTGTGTGTGCGTGTGTGTGTGTTTTGGAGTACGCATGTTAGTGTGGCAGCAAAACATGGGAACACCAGATGTAGACAAAGGCAGACAGACAAACAGAAAGACAGACAGACAGACAGACGCAGACAGACAGACAGACAGACAGACGCAGACACAGACACAGACACACACCTGGCTGAGGAATGGCTGTTGTGGGTCGTGCAGGACATGTGCGGGGACGCGCAAGTTGGCCGTTGCGTCAAAGCCGACCAGCCCAAACGCATCACGAGGCATCGCAGGCAGCGCACTGCCCAAATACTGCTGTTGGCTTTGGCCTTGGTTTTGTTGTTGCTGCTGCTGTTGGTGCTGGTGGCCACCGACGACTTCAGGGTGACCAGGGAGAATCATGTCGTACAGCATCTGGTTCATCAGCTGGTTCTGCCCAGGCTGTGGTGCGTGCGTGTGTGTGTGTTGGGTGTGTTGGGTGTGTGTATGAACGTCAGTTGAGGGGGCGAAAGAAAACAAGCGTTGAGCAGTCGACCGAATACGTCAAGCCATCAAGCCCAGCAGCAACGACATGCACAACACACCTTGTTGGCGAGGGGCCGCGGCTTGCTGAGATGCATCATGTATGGGCTGAGCTGGTCAAGCGGGCCCTCAACGAGCACGCCTTGCTCCTTGAAGTGAAGCAGCAAGTTGTGCCACAGCGCTTGCTGTAACCGTAAACCACGAGCAATAAGGTCAAAGATGAGGGTGAAGCAGGGTGGGAGGAGAACAGGTGTTAGCGGAAGAAAACAAGAGGTAAACTGGGCAGGAGATGCAGTGCACGTGTGCGAATGGGAGCAAACAGAACAAACAGAGCAGAGACACACATAGACAGACACAGACAGAGACAGACAGACAGACAGACAGACAGATACACACACACACGCACACACACACGCACACACACACACACACACACTCACGCACGCACGCACACACACACACGCACGCACGCACACACACGCACGCACGCACGCACGCACGCACACACAGACACACACACACGATACCTTTGAGAGGGCGCGCGGGTTGCCGACGAGGATGAGGCCGTACTTTGCGCGGGTGAGGGCGACGTTGAGGCGACGCGGGTCGTTGAGGAAGCCAATGCCCTGGTGGTCGTTGGAACGCGTGCACGACAGGATAATGTAGTCCTGGCGCAGGTGGATAGGAAACGAACGCGAAGAGAGGGGGATTAGTTGGGGGGGGGGAAAGGAAGGTTGAATGACTTCATGCAAGCGCTTATGCACGCACACGAACAAGCATTATCCAGTGGCCAGGCACAAGCCGCCAAGTACAACGGCACAACGGCACAACCAATCAACGACAACCAACAAGAACAACACCGTCACAATAGCGCAATCAGCGAACCTTCTCACGGCCCTGGAACGAGTCGACACTGGCCACCTCCAGCGCTTCGTAGAAGGAGCGGCGGGCAGCGCCGTGGAAGTTCATGTACTGCACAATGTGCGCGCGCTGGCCCTCATATGGGGTGATGATGCCAATCTGATCCGGCGTGATGCCTGCACGCATGAACCGCGTCACAATCTTCTCCACATTCGCCGCCTCCGTCCTGCCAGGTGGTGGTGGTGGTGGTGGTGGTGGTGGTGGTGGTGGTGATGATGGTGGTGGGATGTCGTGAGGGGGCGGACAACGTGTTTGGGAGGGTTAATGGTGGTAAGCAGGTGAAGTGAAGGGACCATACCGCGCAAACACAGACGATTGCACAACACACCACATCAAGTTGTCACATCACATCACGTCACATTGCATCATCACAACCCCAACAGCGCCGCACCTGTTGAGGTAGGATGAGCCAGACGCTGCCATCTCTTCCCGGCCCATGCTGGCATAGAACAGCATGGGAACCTCCGGGTTTGGCCAGGGAAAATCAACAGCCGGCTGCTCGCGCTCAGCGGCCGTCACGCCGTTCTGCAGGCTGCCCTCGTAGAAGGTGTTGCTCGGAAACTCGCTGGTGGTGAAGAAGGTGAAGGCGGAGGGGGGGGGCGGAGGAGGCACACAGTGGAGTTGAAAGGCGGAGTGGGTGGGATGGTTGATCACAGCGTGAATGGGGTGAATGGGGTGAAATAAGTTGCACTACAAAACCAAGGAGCAAGAATAAATACTCATTCTTCACTCGCGGTAGCAACACCAACGTGCCAAAACAACCACGGGAACAAGCACACACACATACATACACACGCACACACACACACACACACACACACACACACACACACACACACACACACACACACAATCATGCAGACGGTTGTTTTGTGGTGTACCTGAGGGCCGGGTGCATGCGGTATTGGACCTGGAGGCGGACGGGGCGCACGCCGTGAACAACGAGCCGCTCAAAGAGCGAGTGGGCCAGGCCCGCGTTGGCTGCCTTCTTGCACATCACAACGGGACCAAGCTGGCAGTGGTCACCCACAAGGATAACTTGGTTTGCACCGAGCACAAGCGGAATCAAAATTTCGGGCTCCGTTGCCTGCAGGCAATCGCAGGGGTGGGGGTGATTGTGCAGGGTTAGAAGGACACATCGATCGCAGGGAGCGTGTGCTTGAATCACCGTGCACATGCAGACACACACAGACGCACAGATACAGACAGACAGACAGACAGACAGACAGACAGACAGACAGACAGACAGACAGACACACACACACACACACACACACACACACACACAGACACACACAAACAAAAACGCAGACACAGACACACCCGCTGCGCACCTGGGTTGCCTCGTCGACAAGGACGGTGCGATATGGCTTGCCGGCGACAATGCGGCGGTCACCGCCACCCGCACACGTGCAGCAAATCACGTCCGCTTTTCGCAGGAAGATGTCCTCAATTTTCTTGTACAGGCGCCTGTACATGCGCTCATCGGCCTCTGAGAGCTCGCCCAGCTCCTTCTTGAGCTTGGTGAGCTTGGTAAACTTGCTCGAACCCGTGTAATTCTCAACCTGGTTGTGCAGGGACAGAAACGACGCGTCGCCCTCAAGCTGCTCGCGGGTCTTGGCGGCCACGCGAACAACCTTCACCCCAGTCAGGTGGATGCGCTGCGCAAGGTGCTCAACAGCAATGTTGGACGGCGCACACACCAGCACCTGCATGGTGGTGACATGTGTGTGTGTGTTTGTGTTTGAAGTTGTGTGAGTGAGTGAAGGTGAGAGTGTGAGAGGCAGTGCATGTGGTTGGAGGTGCGGAAATGTGTTTGAGATGCAAGTGCAGGAGGAAGTACAAAGTTGTCAATGCGTTCACACATCATGTGTGAGTGTGCGCACCTGGCCGCGTTGCTGGACGAGGTGATAGACGAGTGTTGCCGACGTCACGGTCTTGCCCGTGCCCGGTGGGCCCTGGTGGTGACGATTGATGATGTTGATTGATGGTGGTGAACATTGTGATGAGGGCCGAGGGGGGGGGGGGAGGAAGTTTGCTGCTGTCATGCTGTACACGCACGAAATCACTGACGAGAAACATGTGCAAGGGTGCGTGCGTGTGCAGCTACCTGTGTGTGTGTGTGTATGTTACCTGGATGAGGGAGAGCGGCTGCTGCAGGACGGTGCGAATGGCGTTGAGCTGGGAATGGTTCAGCTCGGGCAGGCCAGGCGCAGACAGCCTGAATCCCACGTGGTGCAGAAGGGGTGAGGGGGGGGGGTGAGTGCATAGTGATTGATGCTGTTGGTTGTTTTTTCGTGCAGAGGCACAAGGGACAGGGGGAAACCGCACAGAAGGAGCAGATGACAACGCCACCACCGCACACACATGCACCGCGTCGCATGTCACAATGACGATGCACATACACATCATCGCATTCCACACAATCGCATCGACCAGCCACCAAACACTACTCGTTCGACAACCCTCGTGCCTTCTTCCGCACCTCTTTGGCATGTCAAACTTGAGCTGGGGCAGGTTGAGCTGGTGCCCCAGGAAGCGGTGGAACAGGTAGTCGCTCATCGCCGCCTCATTCACCGCAAACCGGCGCATGGCGCTCTGCATGCGGTCAAACACGGTGCTGTTCCACACAAACTCGAGGTAGTACCCCGTGTTGACCGTTTCCAGCGTGAGCATGGCAGCGGCCGTCTCGTCGCCGTTGCGCGGACGGGAGCGGAGACGCGAGCGCTCGGAGGGGGATGGGCGCCGAAGATCAAGCTGCAGCTCAACCTCCTCCGACCGCGTGTCGGGCACCTGGAGCAGCAGTCGTGGATGAAGGCGGCCGGGGGGAGGGAAGGGGTGGTGAGGTGAGGTCCATGAAGGGTGGTGGTGGTGGTGGTGGTGATGGCGGTGGTGGCTCATGCATGCCACGCATACACGGCTTTGGGCGTGCACACAGACACAGACACAGACACAGACACAGACACAGACACAGACACAGACAGACACAGACACAGACACAGACACAGACACAGACACAGACATAGGCACACCCCCCCAACCTTCTTGACGGTGCCTGTGGCCTGCCAGACTTCGTTCTTTGAAAAGGGGTAGCAGAGGCGGAGTTCATCGCCGACGAGGAGCTTGATGTCCTGCCGGGGCAGCTCAAAGCTCGCCACGTACTGCCGCTTGATGTTCGTGTCCCAGTGCACCGTAATGTCATCGCAGCGCTGTTACAGCAAAGAAGGGCGACTCCGTGAGTGCGGGGTGAAGGAGAGTGAGTTGGGGGGGGCAATGCACGCAGAGGCACGTGTCTAATTCGCAGCGCAGCATGATACACAAGACACACACACACACACACACACACACACACACACACACACACACACACACACACGCACGCACGCACGCACATGCACACACACACACACATAAAAAAAAAAAGGCGCTGCGTCATATGTGTATGTGAGTCGTGGTAGTCACCTGCTCCTCCTTGATGCGCCTGACGTGTTCGGCCTCAATCTCCACGAGCGGACCGAGGATGTTCTGGTACTCGTACACGTCATCATAGATGAGTTTGGTGCGCGCGAGCTCCTCCTCCTGCGCCTCCGCTGCCGTCTCCACTCTTGGCTTCTTCACGTCAAGCAGCGTCGCGTCAGGGTTGTCCTGGTGGTGGTGGTGGTGTGATGCAAAGGGAAGGGGAGGGAGAGGAAGGACGTGTGAACAGCGACACCATTGTCGAAGGGAGGACAGCCAAAATCAGACGCAGTCGGGCGGCCCAGACACAAAGGCCACACACACACACACACACACACACACACACACACACACACACACACACACACACACACACACACACACACACACACACAGGCACACTGACAGCAGCGCACCCTCCAGAGGTCCTCGAGTTTGTCAATCTGCGCAGGAGTGATCTGACGCGCGCGCATCTGCTCCTTGTGCGAGGGAACTTTCACAATCCACTTCAACAGCGACCGTTCTTGCACAATCGGCTGCCACTGCGTCGTGTCCCTGATGGTTGTGGTGATGGTGGTTGTGGTGGTGGTGGTGGTGGTGGTAGTGATAATGGTGGCCGTGGTCGTGTCAGGGCGTGGTGGTACAACAACGCAAATGCGGGGAATGGGTGAAAAAAAAAAAAAAAAACACACACACACACACGCACACACACCCGCTTCCCCCTTTTACATTGTGCTCATGGTTGTGCAGGGCATGTGGCGTGACTTACCAGTCGTCGTTCTTTGCGACCTGTGGAGACGCACACGGGTGGCGGCAGAGGAGAATCACAAACGAGTCGGCGCGTGCGGGAATAAACCCGAGGTTGAACACGTTGCGCGATCCACACGTGTAGCACTGCACACGTCGACAATGCGAGGGAAAGAGGATGTTTGTGTGTGTGTGTGTGTGTGTGTGTGTGTGTGTGTGCGTGCGTGCGTGTGTGTGTGTGTGTGTGTGTGAGCGAGGCGATGGTGAGATGATGATCCACTTCAGCGGAGAGACACAACAGAGCAGGGTGTCAGGCACAGCAGCATGACATAAGGCAGAAATGCCTCACCTCCAGAACAGAGTCGCCGAGGGCGCTGTCCTTGTGCAGCATCACAGCGTTGTTCTTCGAGCGCACCAGGTGGTTGATGATGTGGCTGTCGAAATGGGGGTGAGCATGAATGGTGGGGCGGGATGGGGAAGGGTGCAGCAAGGTTGATGAGAGTGTATTCACCTCGCAAGGTGGCCAGGCAGTGAGTTTTGCAGGCGCACACCAACACAAGAACGCATACGCATACGAACACAAGAGCGCAGACGCATACGACCACAAGAGCGCAGACGCACACCAACACAAGAGCGCATACGCATACGAACACACACACACACACACACACACATACACACACAGACACACACACACACACACACACACACACACACAGACACAAAACGCACCTGCCGGAGGTGTTGCCACGGCCGTTGCAGAACCATTTGCCTGTGCTGATGCACTTGACCACGCATTTCGGGTCGTGGATACCGCAGTACTTGCACGCGTGCTCAGGCAGGTTCTCCAACGTCTCCACCGCGTCAGCGTCTTCATCACCCTCAGCCTCATCTGCAGCTTCGTCCTCCAAGTCGTCCTCAAGGTCGTCTGCCTCATACTCGTCCTCGTCCTCCTCCGCATCATCGTCATCATCGTCGTCATCATCGCCATCAAGTTGGGCCTGCTCATCTTCAATCACGCTGTGGCCGTACAGGCCGCCCTTGGCATGTGGCGCGTTGGGGTCGTCCTCGGCACCGAGGTGCGTGTGTTGAAGGTCGTGGGCGAGCGCATCTGCGTGGTGCGTGCCGTGGTAGAAGGCTTCCGCCGGTTGCAGGTCGTCCAGCACACTGACACCCGCGCCAAACACGCCATCCAGGTAGTCTGCCTGTTGGGAGTGTCCGTCCGCGCCCAGCATCGTGCCGTGCGCGTGACCATGCATGAATGCATCGGCCTGCGACGCTTGCGTGTGTCCACCATGGTGTGGCTGCGTCTGCGTCTGCGTCTGTGTCTGCGTCTGCGAGATGCCCTGTGTCTGCGACGTCATGGTGAGGTCGTCCGCGCCGTAATCCAGCTGTGACGGCTGCGAGTCTGCACCATAGTCAATGTCGAGGCCTCCCTGGCTCGTTCCCCACGTGTCGCTCATGGCTGCTGCTGCTACTGCTGCTTGTGGTCTTGCAACTGTCGATGCTGGTGCCGAGAAAGGTAATAAGAATGTGCTCACGCAAGTACGGCAACCAAGTTCAAGGTTGGTGTCAGTTCGACGTGCGCTCTGCTGTGAGCGTGGTGCGGCAAGTGCTTCCCTTGCTTGCTTGCTTGCTTGCTTCTTTGCTCTTGTCGTCGTGGTCGCCTTTGGCCGTGTGTGGACAGTCGAAAATTGGTTACATCTTCAACAATTTCTCCTCATTGCTTGGAGTGGCTGCGTCAACAACAGCGATCAACGACAACAACCCTTTGCTTGCTCCAGACACACACGACTCACCACATCGTCCAAGATACACAAACACAAGCACAGCAGACAAAGCACAGCAGACAAAGCACAGCAGACCAAGCAAATCAGACAAAGCAAAGCCGACTACAGCAAAACAAACCAAAGAGGCCCTGACCCCCAACAAGACAAACCAACAACCAAAGACAGCACACAGACGAGATGCGCTCCTTGATGCTGGTTGCCGCGATAGCGGTGGTGTACACCGCTTTGATCTGCACCGCTGCTCCTGCCATGTCGCAGCTGGCTGATGATGGTCAATTTGCCACGAATGGATCAACAACACCCAACTCAACAACACCAACAACAACCACAACGGCGAACATCTCATCGACCACCACCACCACAACGACGCAAACGCATAGCACCACAGCGGGCCCCAACGTGACGACAACGGCCAACGTGACGACAACCGCAAATGTGACGACAACAATGATGCCAACCACGGCTCCCAACGGGACTACAACCACCACTACCACCACGACCGCAGCGCCTGCACCGGCTCGCCGATTCAACCACGAGCTCGAGGTGAAGAACGCCACGGGCATCTGCCTCCTCTTCGACTACGACAAGGTCTTTATGACCTTCAACGACATTACCATCAACGCGACGGGCATCCCTGATTCAAACGTCAACGGCGACTGCTTCCAGTACAGCAAGCTCCCCGATGGCAACTACTCGCTGTCGGCGTCCGTCGAAACCACATACCACGCTGACGACGTCAGCCTCACCGTGCGCTACACTCTCCTGCAAAATGCAACCTACGCAGGCCCCAGCCAGACCACGTACCGTCACGGCGACCAGTCGTCTGCACTCAGCCGTGCGTTGTCACTGCGCGTGTTTGTGTGTAGGGTGTGTGTGTGTGTGTAGGGTGTGTGCGTGTGTGTGTTTGCGTGTGTGTGTGTGCTTGTTTGCACTTGTTGTGCATGTGTGTGTGCCTGTTATTTGGTGCTGTGCTGTGTTGTTCCGTCTCCTTTTTTCATCCATCAAACATACCACGTTCAGCCGCTTGTCCATCATTGCACGATGTGACTCACCACTGGTCATCGTATCGCATGCCGCATTGCAGGCATTGATGTGACGCTCGTGGGCAAGGACAACAAGACACAGGTGCGTGTTCATCGTGAAGCTTGTCGTTGCTGCCAGTCTCGTTGTCGGCGATGCTTGTGCAGCGCCAATGTCTCTCTGTGCCCATGTTCACTTTGCCCCTCCATCCCTCGCATCTGTTGCCCTCACAATCCCTTCCGCTCACCCGCAATCACACACACACACACACACACACGCACACACGCACACACACACAACCGTGCAGACTGCCCACTTTCTTGAATTTGACAAGTACGACATGGCCATGGACAACTCCGTGTCGTACCGGTGCAAGTACAACTTCACCTACAACACCAACGTCACCCACCCCGCGGGCGCCAACGCCACGTTCACCGTTTACAATGTCCACGTGCAGCCGTTTGTTCCCAAGGGCCAGAACAGCTTTTCAAAGAGTACGTGTGTGTGCGTGTGCGTGTGCGTGTGCGTGTGCGTATGTGTGCGCAAGTGTGTGTTCATGTGTCGATTGCATGTGTATTTTGTGTGTGTGTGTGTGTGTGCATCATTCACTATTCGTCTGCAATCGAGACCATTCGTGCATGCACTGCCGTTTGCTCATCATTGTCGCTGCCTGCTCCGTCTCCAACAGCCAACAGCAACTCCTACTGCCCGCGCGACGACAAGGGTGCGTCCAGCCTTCCACTCGTTTGATGTGCTGCCTTGTTTGGTTTCATCCTTCTGGAACACCCATAGTCTACGATATCTCCCAAACCACAGCACAACCCGATGCGCGCATACCCCTCACCTTATTTCATCCACCACCTCATCCCCCACCTGTCATTACTCACGCGTGACATTCATCACGGTCAACCACCCACCGCACTTTCCATGTTGCGCAGAGGTGAAGAGGATCGGGCTGATTGTGGGCGGCATCCTCACAGGCATTGCCTTTCTTGGCATCGTCCTCTTCTCAATCACGTCAGTCGCTGCCGTTGCCTGCAGGCAAAGCCATACTGTTGTGCATCGTGCGCTGCGCCGTGCCTTGTGTTGTGCACTGCGGTGTGTGCGTTGCGTGTATCCTTTGTCTTTGCATCCCCACCTCCATCATCGGACGTTCCAATGTCTTACTCACCGCGTCATCTCTACACCTCCACATATTTGCCAACAATCCATCAGCGCCTGCCGCGGCGAGAGTGAATACCAGAGCCTCGACGACAAGTGATGATGTCCGCCATACCCATCCATCCATCCATCCATGAAAACATCTTGTTCGCATTTCTGCGTGCTGTCTGATTGCCTTCTCTGTGCTGTCTGTGCTTGTTATGCTTGTTGTGTGTATTGTATGTGGTATGTGTGTGCGTGTGTGCGTGTGCGTGTGTGTGTGTGCTTGTGTGTGTGTGTGTGTGTGTGTGCGCGCGCGTTTGTATCGCCCGTCCTGAGCCCACCTCCCTTCCGTTCGTGCGCACGTTTGTACATTGCGCGAATTTCTGCCTATCTCCCCCCCCCCCCCCCCGGGTGCACGCCGTTTGTCACGTGTTCCCCAATTCCAACACCGCCCGTGCACGTGACGTGATCTGCTGTTGCTTACTTCTACCGTCCTTCCGCTCGCGTGCATTTGCACCTTGCTTCCTGCACCGCTGTATGCCCGTTGAGAAGGCGTGTATATGTGTGCACGTGTACATGTGTGCACGTGTACATGTGTGCATGTATGCATGTCGCCTGATCTTCATCTTGCCTGCCTGCTGCTTCCTCTTCTTCCGTTTCGTGACTGATTCACAATAGATTGACTGCAACCAAGCATCGTCATATCACCCCTTTTTACTTTTGGCCACATGTGACACGGGTGAGTGAGCGAGCGAGTGTTGATGGAGTGAGAGCGAAGCCACGGTGTCACAGCACAACATACTGTCATGCTGACGCGAAAATGAACCGGTGTGGGCAGAAAGAAGGACAGGGTTCCGAAGAGTCAACAGCTAGCAAATAAGTCAATTAAACGTTACGTGTGCACATGTGTGCACATGTAAGTGTGTGTGTGGGTGTGTGTGCCATCAGTAGAGGCGCTGGTAGAAGAGGAGATACGCCTGTGCAGAGAACACCTCCTTTGACGAAACCGCACGAACACTGCGGTCCGAACACACAAACCAGCGGTGGTTGTCAACACCACCTCGCTGCGTATCATGTAGAGGAAGAACAGGCAGGCGGTTGTTGTGAGCATGCGAGACAACAACAAACATGCACTTCTCTTGCTGAGGGAGCCGCAACCACAAGCCAAACACACTCTGCAGACACACACACACACACACACATAATACATACACACACATCAGGCGGTTCGTTCGCTGCGCACCTTGACGTATGCGATGTAGTGGCCGCCACGCATGCCGCCCTGGTGCACGACGACGGTCATGAGCTCATAACGGATCCCGGCACCGTCCGAATAAACAGTCACCGCACAGCTGCACATACACACATATACATGTACGCACAGGAGGATTGATGGTGGTGGTGGAGGTGATGATGATATGATGATGATGATGATGATGATGATGATGATGATGATGAGGAGGAGGAGGAGAAGGAGGTGGTGGTGGAGGAGGAGGATGATGATGATGATGATGAGGAGGAGGAGGAGGAGGAGGTGGTGGTGGTGGTGGAGGAAGGGCTCATGGATGATTGCGAGCAGCGGCGAGTTGTGTTGCACGTTCACGGTTCACCGTCACAGCTGCATCGAAGGCACCGACAACAAGCCCACACCAAGACTGCCACAAGACCATCGCAAGGCCACGCCAATGCCACACGACAGCACGTCACACCAATGCCACACGGCACTGACTTTGAGGTGCAGAAGGGGGCGAGGTCGAGGACGAGTGGAAACGAGACAAACTTGTCCGTCTTCTGCAAACGGCGACCGGCGCTCTCAAACCGCTTGAGCTGGATCGTCAGCACCTCGGGCGGTTTCTCAATCAGGTACCGCTTCGTCGCCTCCTGTAACGTGCGATGCGCTCGCGACCCTGAAGTGTTGGTGGTGGTGGTGGTGTTGGCCTTCGTGGCAGTGGCAGTGGTGGTGGTGGTGGTGGTGGTGGTGGTGGTGCTGCTGCTGCTGCTGTTGTTGTTGTTGTTGGCGTTGTGCTGTTGGTTACGATCAGTGTGCCCATTGATCGTGGCTGTCGAAACATTGGTCGTGGCTGTCGAAGCATTGGCGTCGTCAGTACCATCACCACCGCCACTGTTGTTGTTGCCTGTCTTGCTGTCGCTCGCGTCAGCATCCGTGCGACTGCCACCACTGCCAACGCTCGGACTGCTACTGTTGCTGTGATGGTGATGGTGGTTTGTTGCCTCGTCCTCTGTTGTTGTCGTCGTCGTCGTCGCACCAGCATTGTGCGCCCTCCCAGTTGCTTGCGTCTCCGCTGCTCGCTGTTCCTCCTTCTGTCTTTGATCTTCTTCCTCCTTTTCTCGCCGCGCACATTCCTCGCACGCAAACCGGTTGTGGCCTGTGGAAAGGAGGGGGGGGGGAGGACGAAGATGGGAGGAGGGGTGAACGTGTGAGCAGGTGGATTCCGAGATGCAAACTGCAAGCACGCACACACGCAGGAAGAACACACACACACACACACACACACACACACACACACACACACACACACACACACACACACACACACACACACACACACACACACGGACACACAGCAAACACCAGCAGTGCATGTTGTGTTCCGTACCTGCAAGTCGCTCTTCTTTGCAGAATGCGGCGAGAAACGCCTGGACAGAGCTCTCCCCCGGCGCGGGCTCGTACATTGGAGCAACGGTCCGGTCTTCCAGGGGCACTTTTACGTCCGGGACCGCATGTAGGTCTTCAATGGACACGTCAGAGAGGAGGCTTGCCGTGCGCGAGTGTGTGCGGCTGCCTGCACGCATGCTATGGCCGCGAATGGCGTGGTACTGGCTGTGCTGGTGGTGGTGCTGGTGGTGGTGTCCGTTGAGTGTGGGAAGGGACGAAGTGGACATGGGTGCGGAGGACAGCGGTGCCGGTGATGGCGCTGTTGTGGCGGTGGAGGGCATTGGGGCCGCAGTTGCTGACCGTCCTGCGGTGTGGGCTGTCGTCTTCACTGCTGGTGCTGTTGTTGTTGTTGTTGTTGTTGTTGTTGTTGTTGTCGTTGTTGCGGCGGCGTTGGGCTGCACACTGAAGCTGGTCACCGTCCCGTGTCCTGCTGTGGTGGCGGATGCATTTGATGCGGCAGTGGCATCAGGTGGCTGCCTCGAGGATGGTTGCGTTGGTGGGCAGCTTTCCTCCAACATCTCATCCACATCGATGATGCACACGGCTGGGGACGTGGTGCCTGTGTCTGTATCGCGTGCCCTGACACCTTTCCCATCACCTCGCATCATGCCTGCCAGGGCTTGCTTGCCATCCAACACATCACTGCCGTTCGGGTGGTGTCCATTCATATCCACCGCGTGCTGCTCAGAGCCACCACCGTCCTCTTCGCCCACATTCTCCTCCCCAATGCTCTGCAGCATGCTTCGCGGCCGCCGTGGCGAGCGTGCCGCGCGATTTGAATTCGGGCTCAAAATGCCCGCTGCTTGCATTGGCGCCTGTGTGTGTCCGCCGACGAGTCCAGTCTCCCACACCGCATCCACCTCCACCTCCTTCCCCCGATCGTCCTCACACGTCGCTGTTGTCCTTGACGCGGCGTCATCACCATCACCGTCAGCACCATTGCCACCACTGTGGCTGTCAAGAGTGAGCGCGTCTTGCAGCTGTTGTGACAGTTGAGACGTCCTTCCAGACACCTCCCCGTCATCATCTGTCATGGTCGCAGCGTCATCCCTGGTCGTATCATCACCATTAGTGGCACAGCCATCATCATCACCACCTTCTTGAGTGCACGCCTTTGTGTCGTCGTTTGCAACCTTCTTCTTGTCATCACCATCACCATCACCATCACCATCGCTGTTGCTGTCACGCTGCTTGTCTGTCGCGTTTGCTGCTGCTGCTGCTGCTTCTTTTGTCCCCGGTGGAACCTGATGCTTGTTGCGCTTTCCTTTCTTCCCGCGCCCTTGCTGTGAATGGTGGGGAAATGTGTGTAAATGTGGGAGAGAGAGAGAGAGAGAGAGAGAGAGAGAGAGAGAGTGAAAGAGTGCGTGCGTGCGTGTGTGTGTGATAGATAGAGAGAGCGAGCGAGAGAGAGACAGAGAGAGAGAGAGAGAGACAGAGAGAGAGAGAGAGAGAGAGAGAGAGAGAGAGAGAGAGAGAGAGAGAGAGAGAGAGAGAGAGAGCGTGTGTGTGTGTGTGTGTGAGTGAGTAAGTGAGTGCGTGTGTGAATTGTACCACAGCACCACACCACTGTACATCACTGTACACCGCGCCACGGACACAGAATTATCACGGCACTCACCTTCCGCAACTGCTTCTGTCGCTTCTTTGCCTCTCGCTCAAGCTTTTTGCGCTGCTTCTTCGTCAACGGCTTGCCGTCTGGCCCCGTGGTTGGTATCGCACACCCATCACCATCAACACCAGCACCACCGCAGCTGCTGCTGTCGCTCCTGGGCAGGGTGGTGAGGCCTTTGTTAATGGCCACACCTGTCGGTGAGCGGCCACGGCGGGACGTGCGTGGAAGCCTGATGCACAACGTGAACGAATATGCACCGCAGCAGAAAGCAAGCGAGTGCAAGATGTACTGGGGCGTGAGAAGAAGCAAGGGAAGGGGTGGCGGTGAAACGCGGGGGTGACTTGGCATGAACTGCATGAGTGGCTATGGTGGTAGTGGTGGTGGTGGTGGTGATGATGATGATGATGATGATGATGATGATGATGATGATGATGATGATGATGATGATGATGATGATGATGATGATGATGATGATGATGATGATGATGATGATGATGATGGTGATGATGATGATGATGGTGGTGGTGGTGGTGATGATGATGATGATGGTGGTGGTAATGGTGGTGATGATGCACTGCAAAGCACAAGGTGACATTGTTTGGTCCACAGGCGCTCACGAGAGGGTGGACGGGGCCCGCGTTGTGTCCGTGATGGAGAGTGCGACGTCCAAGAACGGCTCGCTTGTTCGCGACACCTGCGGTGGTAGTGGTGGTGATGGTGGTGGTGATGTTTGAGTTGAGAGACACAGGTATGCAAGCACATTCGCAAACGCCCCATTTGGGCAGTTGCCACAGAATCACACCACCACCACCACCACCACAAACAGATACACCTTCGACCAGGAATCATGGGTGCATACCGTCTTGCAGTGCTGGCAGACGATTGTGCTGCCAAAGCGGCCGCCAAACATGCGCTGCACAAATGTCTCGGCGCTGCGAGAATACACTGCACTCGCATTGTGACGACAAAACCGGGCACGGTACGCGTATGTAAGAAGAAAAATGTGGAACAACACCACAAATCAATTCCCACACGCACACAGACAGACAGACAAGACAGACGGACGGACAGACGGACACGCAGGCATACACACACACACACACACACAGACACAGACAGACACACACACACACACACACACACACACACACACAGAGCACCGCACCTCTGAGGCGTTCTGCAAGCGCCGGGTCGACGTCTTTGAGGACATCGGGGAAGTCCTTGTCGTCGTGCTCAACCTCAAACCGCTCGAAAATCGCGCGCTGCACCCGCTGATCACGCGTAAACGGTCGTATGCAGTGTGTATGTGTGAGTGAGTGAGTGAGTGTGTGAGTGAGTGGGTGTGTGTGTTCGTTCTGTACGAGAGAAGCTCGACAGTGGTACAAAGGATGATACAACAACTGCGTGTACAGCGACAGCGACAGCAGCCAAATCGCAGCATGACGCCGAGTCCGTACCTGCAGCTCCTCCTGCTCAACACAGTCGAGAAGAACACGCAGCAGTTCCTGCGCGTCCTGCTGCCGGTACCCGCGGAATTGTGGCGCCCTGGAACCACGATGCCGGCGTGTGGACGGAGGTGAGCAGCAGCCGAGGGATGTGTGTATGTGTGCGTGTGCGTGTGTGTGTGTGTGTGTGTGTGTGTGTGTGACAGACACGTGAGCGGCTTGGGTCAGGTGATGTGATGTGATGCGTGATGATGATGATACAGATGAAGCAGCCATGGGGTGCAGAGCTGAGTGGTGATTACTTCTGGGAGATGGAGTTGAAGAGACCACGTGGCTGCACAATGATGGGTCTGGAACAGGAAATTGGGGGTGGGGGGAACGAAGGTCGACCATGGGAGGTACGACAGCAAGTTTGTGGTGAGTTGCATACGGGTGGGATACGGTGTGCAAGTACGTTGATGACGCTTCTGCGCAAGCGTGTGTCACCTGCTGCCCCGCACACACACACACACACACACACACACACACACACACCCACACCCACACCCACACACACACTCTCTCTCTCACACACACACACTCTCTCACTCGCTATCAACACACCACCACCACCACCACCACCACCACCACCATTGCGACGCAACCGGCGCGCTTACTTTGGTGATTGCAGGTCGCGAAGGACGTGCAACAGCGCGTGTGAGATGGGGGATGGCGAGTCATTCTGCACAATGACCTCTATTGCCTTCATTGCCACCTCCTGCGCCACATGATCCAGGATGAGCGCAAGCACACACACACACACACACGCACACACACACACACACACACAGACAGACAGACACACACACAGACACACACACACACACAGACAATGACGTATTGTTAATAAAGGCACACGATTGCCACAACCACAACAAAAGCAAGGCAGCCGCACAAGACCGTGCAATAATGCAACTGTGCGATGAAGATGACTCGGGGTGGCAAGGTACGATACCACGAAGCATGTGGTTGTCTGCACAACGCAGCAGGAGCATCGACATCACGTTCATCGACAACTTGTAGAATCAATCACCTTGGACTTGTACACGGCGCGCGAGGTTGGGACAATGACGCGAATGGCCCTGTCGGTGGCGAGGAGCTTGTCGAGGGGCTCGGTTGTGTCACGCAAACTCGCCAGCCCTTGCAACACCGTGTTGAGGAAGCATGTGTTGCCCAGGTTTGCCAGCCCGCTTGGCTGTATTGAGCATGGCAATTGACACACACACAGACACACACACACACACACAGACAGACACACACGCGCACAGACACACAGACACACACACACACACAAGCACGCAGCGTTCACACGAGCACATGCGCGAGGCGTTAGTGATGTCATGAAGGGAAACGCGGGAGGAGGACGTGAGGTTTGGAGAAGAGAAGGAGCACAACACCCAGACACATGAAGCACACAATAAGAGTTCCTCACACCCACCCACACACATGCACACCCACACACATGCACACCCACACACATGCACACCCACTCACACACACACAACACACAACACATGCACACACACACACACAGAGCCGCACATGCTCACCTCCGGGACTTGTATTGAGCTGGCCTTGGCTGCGGCTGCATCTTTCCTCCTCAGCATCGTTCGTTCTGTTCCCCCTCCTGTTGTGTCCTTGTGCCGGGACGGCCGTGGTTGGTCGTTGCCTTCTTCTGCTTCTGGCTGGTTTGGCGTGCCACCCACACACAACAAACAACAACAAGCCAAGCACCAATCCGCTGCAGCGAAATTTGGAAGGCGGATACGGAAAAGTCGTTGAAGATATAAACAAAGGGAGGTCGCTAACGACTCCGATTCCGAGAACTTCAACCAGCACAACAGCGGGCGCTTGCGCAAAGGAGAGCAAAGGACAGCGCTGTGTGTGTGGTCTCAAGTCAAGTAGGTCAAACGCCTTCATCCTCTCGCTCACTCCTGTCGTTTGCCCGCACACGCGTCAACTAACTTGTTCGCTTGCATGTGACATTGCAACTCTCCCTTTGCGTTTCCTTTTTCTTGTTCTCGCTTCTCACTTCTCCCCCTTGCTTCTCCGCTTCGCCACCTTGTTGGAAAATTACAATTCACGCATCCACAGCACACGCACACGCATTCAGTGCAAGGCTACATGCGGCGAGTGTATCAACCTACCCGCCTCGCACCAACATACGCACACGTCGTGTAAGGTCACCGTGATCCACCAGCTATCGCTAGTTCCATCAATTGTGCTAGGTTCGGGAATCGGTGACAAGTGCGCACACCAGCCGACCTGAACCTTCAGCACAGCTTGTTCGTAAGCAACCCACGCGACCAGTCATCAGCAACACAGCAGCAGACACGCAAAGTCCACCCACCAACGGCACGGAAAGGGAATCCAGCTCGTGCAGCATCCACCATCACCGGCCCGCTTGTCACGTCAACTCTTCGTGTCCCTGTGCGTGTGCGTGGTGACCGCACTTGTGGGTTTTGGGAGGCGGATTGACAGCACATGTCCATAACCATGTCTGGGGGCCAGGTTCCGCGTTCGAGGCGTGAAACTGCCCCTGCAATGTCCACGGAAACGACCCCGCTTGCCATGCAGGCGCGGGATGTGTCCAAGCACCCGCTGCCGGCAGAGCTACAGCAGATGGCCGAGGATGAGACCATCTGCAAGTTCTGTGGCATCAGCTACCTCATCCATCGCCAAGTCAAGGCGCTGCAGGTGAGAGAGCGAGCGCCCCTCTTGTGTACACTTGCCCCTTCCTTTGCATGTCCAGTGTTGTGCTTGGCGTCTTGTGACCGGCGTCGTGCCACCAGAGCGACTGAAGCTTCAAATGCATCGCACAACATCCGCCATCCACCACACTTACACAACGCGAACCACTGTGATTTGCCTCCACATGGTGTGTGTATATGTACGTGTGTATGTGTGTCATGCAGGAGGAGAAGGAGTTTCTTGAAGGGCAGCTGCGGCGCTTCAAGGACGACGCTGCGCAGGCCAACGCCATGCGGGAGCGGATACGACAGCTGGAGGCCGATGAGGAGGTGGCGCGCGTGGAGCTGGGGCGCGCCGAGGAAAAGCTGCAAACCCAGCAGCGTGCGCTTGCAGACGTGCGCGATCGCATGCCCGTGCTGTTCCAGAGTCTCCGCAAGCAGCTCACGGCGCTGCGGGAGACGGCCGTACCGCAGATGCAGGCCGTGGCGAGCGCGGCTGGCAGCGATATTGCCCAGCACGTGCAGGCTGTGGCGGCACGGTGTGCGCGGCTGGAGCGCGACAAACAGCAGCTGGAGGACATGAACAAGCAGGCGAGCGAGCGCGTGGCGTCGCTGTCTTCCCTGCAGGCATCATACACGCGGAGCAGGGAGGAGGTGGAGCGGCTCAAGGCAGATCTTGCGCAGACCGAGGCTGCGCACAAGGACGCGCAGGCCGTGCGGGCGGAGCTGGAGCAGAAGACAGCGGCACTTGCGGCTGCGCAGGCGAGAATACGGGCGCTGGAGGACGAGAGTGTTCGCGCACACACGGGCAATAAGGAGGAAATGGGGAGCCTGCAGGCAAAGCTGACGGCCGCACAGGCAGAGCTCGCTGCTGTGAAGAGGGAATGCAAAGAGTGCACGGCCAAGCTGCATGAAGCTGAACGTAGCAAGCAGGTCGAAACCGCCCAGCAGTCGCGGGTACGTACCGCTGTGTGTGTGTGTGTGTGTGTGTGTGTGTGTGTGTGTGTTTGTATGTGTGTGTGTGTGTGTGCGGGCGCGCGCGCGTGTGTGCGTCTGTCTGTTTGCATATTTGTTCTGAGGGTTGCATGTGTGTGTGTGTGTGTGTGGATATGGTGGGGTTATCGTTGTTGCGATTCCTTGTCGAGAATACGCTGCTTGTTAAGCAGCTCACTTCCATGTTGCACCCATCTGTTATGCCTGCATGGTTCCATCGTTGTGTGGCTTGGCAGCTCGCTTCCGCGTGTGCGTGGGCGTCGCAATCGCTGGAAAAGGCCGAAGCAGCCATCACCAAACTGCAGCACGACAAAGACAAGCTCACCCAAGGTCTGGGACTTGTTGTGTGTGTGTGTGCGTGTGCGTGCATAGATACATGTTTGGTTCTTTCGCGTGTGACGTGGTATATTAGAGCGTGAAACACACAGCTTGCATGCTCATTTTTGTTCTTGCGTGTCCTTGCCGATGAGTGCTCATATTCACGGTCTCCCCATACCCCACTGTGCCTTGCGCTTGTGAACAGAGCTGGCGCGTGTGCGGGCAAGCGTTGTGGACAAAGCGTCCAGTCACGAGCTCATTGCGCAATCCAAGGCGGAGGTGGAGCAGCGACTTTCTGACACGGTGTCAGAACTAAACAACATGCGATCAGCGAAAGAGGTGTGTGTGTGTGTATGTGTGTGTATGTGTGTGTATGTGTGTGTATGTGTATGTGTGTGTGTGCGTGGATGCATGCGTGCGTCTACTTGTGGTTGAATGTGTCTGATGGTACTGTTGTGTGTATGGTGATCAACGGCAGGCGTTGTCCAAGGAGAACGAGGCACTGAAGCACAAGCTACAGGTGAGGCGAATACGCGCAGACTCCAAGCGTAGGCAGATACAGAGGGAGAGAGAGAAGCGGAGCATGTGCTGTAGTGTGGGAAACGAGAAGTTGCGTCAAGCACACATCACTGTACAACGTGCACCAAATGTTTGCTTTTACTTTGGTTGACGTTCACTGTGGCCTTGCTTGGTTCAGGAACTGAACTCAATATGCGAGACAATGGAACACAAAGTGACACAGCAGCAGCAGGACACACACGCGCAGCTGACGACGGTTATTGCGCAACTCAAGTACGCAACGGACTTGTTGTGTGGGGTGATGCCTGCAAGTTCTGTTGTGGCGACGTTGTTGTCATGGACGAACTTGTGTTGCTGTTGCGGTTCACTGCTCGCACACACATACACGCATGCACGCATGCACACGCACGCACACACACACACAAATACAAACACATGCATGGTGTGACTGCACTCACGCACGCATATACACACACACTGCATGTACGCCTATCGCCCATGTGCATGCGCAGGCAGCAGTTACAGGGCGATAAGGAGCGCTTTGAGAAGGAGTTGCAACTTGCGTCGCACCGCAGTGCAAACCTGTCGAAGCAGGCTGAGGTGGCACGCGAGGAGAATGCCAAGCTGATGGCAACCATCACTGAGCTTGAACAACAGCTTCAACACACGTCTGTCACCTCCTCGGAGCAAGTCCTCAAGTTGCAACAACGTGTGTACTTGCTCACAGCTCTGTCCGTGTGTGTATGTGTGAGAGTGCCGTGTATGTTCGTGTGTTTGTGTGTGTGCGTGTATGTTTGCATCTGTGTGTGTGCTTGTGTGTGTGTGTGTGCTTGTGTGTGTGTGTGTGTGTGTGTGTGTGTGTGTGTGTGTGTGTGTGTGTGTGTGTGTGTGTGTCGCCTGCCTTCTGCCACGTCCTTCTGCCTTATCCTTTTTGTTTCTTTTTTGTGACGTACACCTCGTATTGCTGTGCGTTTGCCCTCGACTGGTGTTTCAGAATTGGCGGAGAAGAAGCGCGCAAATGAGGAATTGGACCAGCGGCTCCAGCTTGCTCTGCAGAACGCACACGACCCAACAGAGGTAGGGCTCGGATGTCGATGCATCGTGTGGTGTGGACATGCATCCGTGTGTGTGTGTGTGTGTGGTGTTGTCTGCATGCACATCTACATGCCGTGAGTGTGTTGAGTGTGTATGCTCCATTGATGAAGCGTTGAGCGCTCATGCATGGCATGGTCTCACCGTCTCCTGTGTCATGTTTGTTGTTCCAGGCACGCCAGCTCAGGGAAGCATTGTCGGGGAAGGAGGAGGAGATTGCTGTTCTTCAGGACACCGTCGCTCGAGAGGTGCTGCTGCTGATCCTGTTGCTGTTTGCTGATGCTGTTGCTGATGTTGTTGCTGCTGCTGTTGTAATTCATGGAAGTGATGGTGGTGCTCTTGGCGGCGTTGATGGTCCTAGCGGTGTTGATGGTCGTGGTGTGCAGTTATGCGCGCCGATCCTTCCATCGTCACACATGCTGGACATCGTCGCTTACATCCGCACCCGCCTGCCCTTATGTTACGTGTGCATGTGTGCAGTGCATGGAGCGGGAGCAACTGGTGAAGAGCCTCGAGTCTGCGCGGGAGCAGGTGATGCGGCTGCAAGGCGCTGGATCGCGACGATCAACAGCACCGCGCTACTCTCGTATGTCAAGCGTGTCTTTGTGTGTGAATGTGTTTCTGTGAGAGCGTGTGTGTGTTTGTGTGTGTGCGCGCGTGTTTGTTTGTTTCTGTGTGTGTGTGTGTGTGTGTGTGTGTGTGTGTGTGTCGGTATGTGTTGATGCGCGTTGTTTCCAAAAGAGGGTTGCTTGGCTGTTCGGAGGCAAAGCGGCGCAGCACAAGCGCACCGCTCCGCCTCAGTCCCATCGTCGTCGTCATCGTCGTCACACCTCCGCGCAGCGCAGCAGCGCTCCGCTCGGAAGCACGCAATCCAGCACCACCCAGCACCAACGTCAGTGCACTGCTGTGCTGTCACTATTGTGTGTGTGTGTGTGTGTGTGTGTGTGTGTGTGTGTGTGTGTGTGTGTGTGTGTGTGTGTGTGTGTGTGTGTGTGTGTGTGTGTGTGTGTGGAAGGAAGCGAGGTTGTTGTCTCAGTGTCCCATCACCCCTCTCTCACCCATTCTCACATCGTCTTGTGCACCTACTTCCCTTTACTGCAGGTGAAGCCCCTTACACACGACACACACACACGCACACACACACACACATGCGTGCACGTTGTCTGTGTAGGATATGCGGGGCTTCCAGAAAGACACGAAGCGAAGCAAAGACAATATCTGATGCGAGAACAGCACACGAAAAACAAACCGAACAAGCTCCCTATTTGATTAGCCAAGGTCATCATCATCATCATCATCATCACCATCATCATCATCATCATCATCATCATCATCATCATCATCATCATCATCATCATCATCATCATCATCATCATCTGAATCCTTTCTTAGTAGCTGCCGTATGGAAGAATGATAGAGTTGAATACACCTGCAAGCACGTAGGCCGTCATCCCCCAGATGCAATGCGGCCCGCTGTCAAACTGCGGCAAACTGCCCAAGCCTGCGGTGTGTACGTGTGTTCCGTGTGTTCCGTGTGAGTGAATGGACGGAAGAATCCAATCATCTCATGCAAAACACAACGCAAAACAAGACCCACGCCCTCACACACACACACACACACACACACACACACACACACACACACACACACACACACACACACACACACACACACAGACGTGCATACATGCGTAAACATGTGTTTCCTACCTGGCGCCTTCCACGTTGATCTCATGTCGGGGTTGAGCAAGTCGCGGCAAGGGACAATAAACGTCTCCGCAACCTGCAGCAGAAGCAAAACCGTGAGCAGCAATCGGCACACGGACACGGACACAGACACGCAGACACACAGACACACGTACACATAAGCTGTCGGACCTCGTTCAAGTTTGGCGTTATGTCTTCGGGGTAAACGGTACCGAGATAGCCAATCACCGGCGTCACGCTCAAGGTTTTGTCTTTGGCAGTCACGTCGTGCCATCGGCCCAGTATTCTCTACCAAGCACATATATGTGGTGGTGTGTGTGTGTGTGGTGCCGTGACTGGCTGTGAGTATGTGGACATTCGTGCAAGCATGCAAGCATCCATGCATGCGCAAACTGTGCGCGCTTGTCGCAGAAGCTGCCAACAGTGGAACAAGAGCACACATGTACATACCCAGCACACGCATGCACAAACTCAGCACACACATGCACAACCCAGCACACAGCACACAGCACACAGCACACACACACACATACACACACACACCAAACACACACACACACATACACACCTTTGGGGCGATGCCAATCTCTTCAAGGCACTCCCGCGCCGCTGCGGCCTCCACCGTCTCGTCATCGTCGTCCACCATACCGCCCGGAAAGCTGCAATCACGACCATGTGAGCATCAACAGACAAAAGGAAATCGCAGTTTGGCAAGAAATGAGCCGCAGCCCATGCATGCTGTTGGGAACCAAGATTCACCAGCAGGGGAACATGTTATTATCTCCTCCCCTATGTAGTTGCACGCACCTCACTTGGCCGCCGTGTCTGTTGAGGTGCTCTGATCGCAGTGTAAACAACACGCAAGGCTGCCCTTCCTTGTTCAGGCACAGTGGCAACAGGATTGCTGCGTGCCGCTTTGAATGCGGCGTCAGGTCCACCCGCTTCAATGTCGCCAGCCGCTTCTCCATTGCATCCAGCGCCTAGACAGGTGACAGAGTGTTTGCGTGTGTGTGTGAGTGTGTGAATGTGAGTGTGTGTGTTTGAATGTGAGTGTGTGAATGTGTGAATGTGAGTGATTGTGTGAGTGAGTTTGTGTGTGTGTGTGAACACGCGCACGAGGAAACGTATTCATGATCTGCATGTAGGTGCAGGGTTAGATCGACAAGCCCTCAGCGACGACCAGCACCAGCTCGCAAGCAAAGAGACCACCCTCACTTGCGGTGTGCAGATGTTGTCCAGGGCTTCTTCAGGGACGGGCTTTGGCGGCAGCACTGCCCATCGGTGCATGCTGCGCACGCGTGGCACAAGTGCGGAGATCGCAGAGACCTTTGTCCACACCCGTGCCACTATCGCCGTCATCACGACCACAACAGGCATCGACCAAGCAGAGTCAGGATGGATGGATGTCGAGAGAAGAAGGATGAGGAGGGGAGGTTGAGAGAGCAGCAGCAGCAACAGCGACAAACACAAACAGTCGGAAAATTCATGGGAATCATTCACCAATCTTCAGGACTTTGTGCATCAGGTGACGGTCCGTGATGACTGCGCTGACGTTTGAGGTGGTGGATGCGTTTGCCAAGCAAGGCACGGTTCAGTGGCAACCCGGCCTGCGTGGTGGTGCTTGGCGAGCAGGAGGGCGCCAACGATGTCACCGACGACTTTATGCAGAAGTTTGCCAGGTGAGCTGGTGCATCTAGCAAGCAAGAAGTGTGTGTGTGTGTGTGGCGGAGGAGGGAAGTGAGGTCAGAGATCCGTGGCCTTCGACTCAGTTGATGAAGTGATGTGACAGATGAACGTGAGCACAATGTGCGTTGTCGTGTTGTCGGCGCTTTCGCTTGTCGCTGCCCTCATGTTTTGTTTCTGTTGGTGGTGTCTGTTGGTGGCTGATGCTGCAGGGAGATGAACTTGTCGGAGACTGCATATTTGAGGAAGGAATCAGGAAGCGACAACACATACTCGATCCGCTGGTTCACCCCTGCCATCGAGGTGCGTGTGTGTGTGGGGGGGGGGATATGTGTATCTGTTCGTGTTTTTTCTTTGTGTGGATCACCGTGCGTGTGTTCTTTGCTGCCTGCACTGGTGCACTGGCAAAGCAGCAATTGACTTCTGCGTGCTTTACAGGTGGATCTGTGCGGCCATGCAACTCTGGCAGCTGCACACACGCTCTTCTCCAGAGGACATGGTGAGGCTCGCACATGCGTGCGTTCTATACAAGCGCTGTGTGTCACCAATGTATCTCGTTTTTCTTGGCCCGACGTCAACCACACATCCTCACCCATGCTGTGCTTTGCACCACTGCGCACACACACACATGCACACACACATGCGCACACACACACACACGCACACACACATGCACGCACCACTGCACACACACACACACACACACCACTGCACACACACACACATGTACACACGACTTCTCGTGTCTTGAATTGCAGTGACTGGCGACTCCGTGACCTTCTCCAGCAAGAGCGGACCTCTCGCAGCTCGCCGTGCCGAAGGGTACGTGCCCATAACATAGCTGAAACGTTTCCGTTGATTGAGGCTACAACAGCAATTTGCACACACTCCTGTACCACACTGTATACCTTGAACTCAGCGTCCACACTTCACGCACACCGCAGCCACTACACCGCGCACCACCACACCACACTTCACATATATCTCTCATGTGCAACTCACGATAGCAGCTGCTGCACTGGTGTGTAGGGGTCTGATTGAGCTGGACTTTCCACAAGAGCGCGTGGCAGCGGATGCAGAGGCACCACCAGCGCTGCTGAAGAGCCTGAACTTCACGGTGGAGGACGTGGCGTTTGTTGGCAAGAACAGGATGGACTACTTTGTGGCCATTGCAGGTGGCCAGCCCGCCATCGCCGCCCTCGCTCCAGACTTTACCCTCATGAGGACCATCAAGGTGTGTGTGTGTGTGTGTGTGTGTGTGTGTGTGTGTGTGTGTGCGTGTGTGTGTGTGTGCGTGCGTGTGTGTGTGTGTGTGTGTGTGTGCGTGTGTGTGTGTGTGCGTGCGTGTGTGTGTGTGTGCGTGGGACCATGTGTGCGTGTACTGTTGCATGAAGAATGGGCTGCTGCTCCTGTGTGCGTACTTGTAGTGCTTGTTCATCCATTTGCACTGGTGTAGACCCGCTGCGTGATTGTCACGAGCCGTTGTGACGATGATGATTCCGAATACGACGTCGTATCTCGCGTCTTCGCCCCAGCCGCTGGCATTGACGAGGGTGCGTGGACAACACACACACGTGTTTGTGCGTGCGTGCGTGCATGTGTGTGTGTGTGTGTGCTTGTTATGATGCGTTTACATTAATCGTCGTTTCACATTCTTTGTGCTTTGCAACGTCCTGACTCTCACTGCATAATTGCTCATATCTGCACGTTGGTGTGACAGACGCGGTGACGGGCAGTGCTCACAGTGCCATTGGGCCATATTGGGCCGACAAGCTTGGCAAGGCTTCCCTCGTCGCTCGCCAGGTGAGATGCAACGCAGCGCGAAAACTTCTCATCACATGATGATGAATTGTCTTGCTCCTGCAGCAGCCTTCACACACACGCACACACACACACACACACGCACACACACACACACACACACACACACACACACACACACACACACACACACGCACACACACACACACACACTCACTCACTCACATATTGGCGTGCAGGCGTCTGCGCGTGACGGAACGCTCCACCTGACGGTAAAGGACAACGGCAGGATTCTCATCAAGGGCAACGCCGTCACGGTCACACGTGGCGAGCTGCTGCCACAGGAGCAATGAGTGATGCGTGACTCTTCTGTTGTGATGGTGGTGGTGGTTGTGGTGGTTGTGGTGACTGTCAAGTGACATTCGGGCACATGTTGGTGTGATTGGGGTTGCTCCTTCTGGCAATTGATGGTGCTGACGTGCGGTTGTGTTGCAATGCGTTGTCGACGCGTTCATTGGAGGCGGCTTTTATTTGTTGTTAAGACGTTCAATAACACAGCTAGCCTTTGTGTCGCGCATTACACATTACACATCGACACACACACATACATACACACACGCACCCTCGCGACCTTATCAAGCCTATGGTCAAACGCATCCTACATACCGACACAGACAGACAGACAGACAGACACACACACACACACGCATAACCTGCGCAAACTTCCATGCTAGCAGCCCTAGCAGCCTGGGTTGATGATGAGCACGGCGTGTGCATTGTAGGGAATGGCGTAGATGAGGTTGCTGGGCGCAGCCACGCCACCAATCCACAAGGATGCAAACACTGCTGCTGATGATGGCGCTGGACGTGCTAAGGAGAGGGTGTCTGCGACGTTGGTCGCTGGGTCAAAGGTCAGCACTCGCGACGTGTCAAAGGGGATACCGAAGATGCGACCGTTGTGCGCAAGAACACCCAGCGCCCATTTGCCCACGCCGTCTGGAGTGGTGTGCTCGGGAATGGTGGTGTGCGTGTTGGTGTCGGGGTCGATGACGAGGACGCTGGGTGCCATCAGCGGTATGCCGTAGAGAAGCCCGTTGCCGCCAAGGATGGTACCTTCCCACTTGGTGCTGTTCCCAAAGCCGGCGATGGTGGTCGTGTCGGCGGTGTTGGTCGCTGGATCGATGATGAGCACGCCGTCCTCGTTCAGCGGCGCAGCGTAGATTAGCCCGTTTGGTGCAAGCGTGCCGCCGCACCACTTGTACTGTCGAATGCCAATGTTGGTGAGGGTCGTGGTATCCGTGGTGTTGGTAAGAGGGTCGATGATGAGGACGCTCGCGGAGAACCAAGGGATACCGTAGATGCGCCCATTGTCGGCGGCAACGCCGCTGATCCACTTGTTCCTGCTTGCGGGCAGGTTTGGCAAT